CACTAACTGTTTAAATTTGTCCCAAGAGAATCATTGGGTATTATCCGAAAGAAACCCTTGAGGAATTTGCAATTATCGATGCTCCACGCTAACTGAATAATTAAAGAAATTTATTGACAGTACTACCACACCTCAGTTATGCACATAGGCATGACAAACCCAAAGACTTCTCAGATAAAAATACCAACAGGGATCAAGGTGGACACCTTTAGGGATGCTTATTTGCAACAAAATATCAATCATTTCTCCTCTGAAAGGCATTTGAGGGAAATTCGAATAGGAGCGCAACGCCTTACTGTCCCCAAAATAATTGATAATGCATAAATTCCATATGTCAGAAAACATATCCAGCTCCAAGTTTCTAAACTAGGCAAAGAACCATGGTAGGCAAAACCCACAAATGAAGGTAAAAATAAGCAAGCTTAAGCTTTTAAATAATTATTAACACAAAAAATGTCTACAACAATGTAAAAGGCAACGAATTAGTATAGACATCCCTTTTTTTTCTTGGTAGGCCATTTTTTTTCCTTTAAGTCCAGAGAACGTAAATTTCCAATTCATGGATTTCCAGAAACTGTTTACTTCCTGGGCCGCAGGGGGTCTCAGTTTTATTTAAGTTTAGCCACTTAATTATCATTAAAACCATCCAACTGTACAGCACTACATACCCTGCATATCTGCAGCAACTTCCCATAACCATAACTATAAAGCTTTAGTAGCAAACAAAGAAGCCCCAACAAAAATATTCTAGGGTTTAAATACACTTCTATAGAGTCTAACAATTAAATTCAACGTAAGTGCATAAAAATTACTAAAAGCAAAAAAAATTACCTGCTGGGATCTATCACCATGAATGGTAGTTGCAGGAAAACCATTCATGCACAACCAATGTTCCAGCGAATCAGCTCCTTTTTTTGTCTCAACAAAAACTAATGTAAGAGCTTGCTGCAAGATTAAATTACAAAATTATCTCAAAATAGGAAGATACAGTCTCACTCATAAAACCATAACGTAGACAAATGATTTACTTATAGACCTAAATCTGAGTCATATAGGAATTTCCATTAATTAGTACCTTTCCCTGGACTCCATTTGCCCTCTGCGCATGAAGAAGATCCATAAGGTGACTTCTTTTGTCTGACTCATGAACAAATTCTACTCTCTGGACAATCAAATCAGTACTTGATCCAACTCGTCCCACAGCCAAGAAAACATAATTTGCAAGAAAATCAGAGGCCAGTCTCTGCATGCAACAAAAATGAAAGGGTAAATAACTACCAAAACCCATGATACATCCACTCCAAATGATATTCCAAGACAGTAGCAACTCGGGTGTAGTTAAAGTGGCAAGAATGGACTGAGGTTTGACTAAAGAACTTAGGTTAGAGCCGTAATGCTCTAACTCTTGTAACCAATAAAGAAAACAATATTCCAACATAATACATGCCAGAATAACAAAGAATAATGCACGCAATGTATGAATCTAATAAATAACTTCATAATGTAAAGAGATAAGAAAATAAGAGATTCTATTATATATGCAGGTGCTTCTGTGTGTGTGTGTGTATATTGCCTCACTCATTAGTAAAGCATTAAATATTCATGAGAACTTGAATAAAAATTTAAACACACTAGCAGGCAAATATGAAAGGATTCATTACAAAGACAGGAGCAACCTGTATCTCTTTTGGAAAGGTGGCACTGAATAGCATTGTTTGTCTAACACCAGGAGGAGGCATGTCCATTTGTTCCACAATTTTTCTTATTTGAGGTTCAAAACCCATGTCCAACATTCTGTCTGCTTCATCAAGGGCTAAGTACCGAATCATCTGTAGAGAAACTCTAGCCCTCTCTAGCAAGTCCACCAATCTTCCAGGAGTTGCCACAAGAATATCAACACCTCTCTCCAGCTCCCTCAGCTGGCCAAATAGAACATCGTCAACTTATGGTAAAACAAATATACTTGCAAATGTAGTAGAGCTCAAAATCAAAAGCAGAATCTCAAATTTTTGTGCTAGCAACAGAAGAAATGTGCAAGTATATTGCATAGCAACAAGACACATCAGAGAAAAGGGTACAGAACTTGAAAATTTAAGAAATATGTTCAAGAGAAGCAAGGATAGTTCCACT